GTAATAGTAAAAATAGCCTGAATTTAATGAGGACTTTTAAAAAAATTAAAAATTGCAAGCTGATTTGGAAAGGAGGCAAAATAAACCACTGCAACTCCCTCGGCTGGTCCTGTCCCAGACACATCTTTCCCTCCCTCTTGGAAATTCAACAATATTAAGCAACCTGACTGCAAATTTATAATTAAGCTAAGACCATCACTGTAGGAAGAGAGAGGAGAAACAAAGCAAGCAAGCACAACCAATACCAGATTTTAACCCTTGTACTGCCCTGAGACCTCCAGGTATAGGGCGAGATATAAATTCATTAAATAATAAAATAAGAATAAAAATAATAATCTCTAAATGTTTAAGGAGGTGACTCTTGCACTCCCCCGAAGCAGATCCTCCAACTGTGCATGCCCTTTTCTTCTCATCCTTTGGGTTCACCACCGGCAGTTTGCCTCGGCTTGAGTCAGCCCGGGAAGCAATATAGTCCCAACCCCCTCGGTCAGTCACTCACACGGGGATGGTGCAGGCTTCTCTCTGCTGGCAAGAGATGGGGAAACACCAGCTTAATTGGGAGCAGCGGATGAAGGCCACTGTGGACCAGGGCGAGGTGAGCAGCTCATCTCCTCCACTGCTGGCCTCCAGCTGCTTCTGCCTCCAGGGGAAAAGATAGCAGGCCTCCCTGATATCTAATATTATATATTATTCAGAGTTTATTTGCATCAGGAATCAACTGAAAAAGTGAATTGCTCACAGGTTAGCAAAGAATTCCATTATTCATCCAGACGGGAAATGTTTGCATAACTCTAATAAGGAAATAGCAGAATAATAGGACCAGACATCTGTGGTCTGCATATCACAACATCCATATGCAAAACAATAAATCCACTGGAAAAGAAGCTGACCAAGTAAGAGTTCTACAGAGGCACAAGCAAATCCGTCAATTTGGTTTCTCTCAGTTTCACGTTTCCCCAATCTTCAGTCCTCTACATTTCCACAGTGGCAGACCTTGGGGTCTCACTGGCACCCTGTATGGTGCCAGAATTTGCCTCCGCTTGCCTCTCACCTTCCATTCTACATCTTAGTTGTGGCGCCCCCTGCAGTAGCCCCCAAGTGAGACCTGACTGGTTGTGTGCCCTTAAATCCACCTCTGATTTCCAGATCACACTCATTTTTCATAAAGGATCATGTGGTGGGAATTTCTCTAACAGACACGTTTTTGTATGGAATTTTGTGTGAGAGACGAAAAATTGGTTTTGTCGAAAAAGAATTTTCCTGATATAATGCATTTTTGTCTCTCATTTTCACTGATGTATGCATAAGGTTAGTTTGTCTGTTTTCATGTTTTACCTATCAGCTCCTAACAGCATTCAGCATCCATTAACAGCCAAGCAGGCCACCTGTCCCCCAACACAGCCCCCCCAAATGTAAAGTATTATCACATGTTGCAAGTTTGTAAGTCTATCTATACTACAGTGTGTGGGGTAGATTAGGTTTGGTTCAAGGGAAGCCATTATCTTCCCTACCTCCTTTATCTGAACAGCAAAAGGCAGGAACTTCAGGGGAAATGGGAGAAATGTTTTACAGTGCGCTGCCAACAGCATAGCTGCTCTTTGTGTTCTCGTAATCTTGGTCCTGATTTGCATGTAGCCAGATGTTCTGCTATTCAAATACATCTCCAGAACTGGATTCTCTTAGGCATGAGGGTGGTGGCTCTGCTTCTAAACTACACATAGCCAAATGAGAGTAATTGTGTTTTTTCACGCTATTTATTCTCCATTATTGTTTGTTTTCATTTGGGTGTTGTTGTTTTTAAAAGCTTTTTCAGAGGGAGCACTAGGCATATTGTCAGTAGCACTCTGATTTTAAAATTGGGAAGGGAAATAAATCTTCTGCAGGAGTCCAGGTTTTTAATTTATTTTCAGACTCAGAGGTACCAGAAAAACTCTCCAGTTCCTAAAGTTCAGCTCCAGCCATTTGTGGCTCACATGGATGGATAGGCATATATGTCCATTTCATTGTTTTCCAGGTTCATATTCAACTCTCCACATTTCCACATTAATTTTTGATTTTATTTTTTTTAAGTCCTCATTAAAATTCAGAATTTCAGTTCAAATGTCACCTGACATACAGTGGTACCTCAGGTTACATACGCTTCAGGTTACAGACTCCGCTAACCCAGAAATAGTGCTTCAGGTTAAGAACTTTGCTTCAGGATGAGAACAGAAATCGGGCTCCGGCGGTGTGGCAGCAGCAGGAGGCCCTATTAGCTAAAGTGGTGCTTCAGGTTATGAACAGTTTCAGGTTAAGTACGGACCACTGGAACAAATTAAGTACTTAACCTGAGGTACCACTGTATATCCATATGCAATTTTGCCTAATATCCATACTTTTGCAAGGTGGTTCTCCACTGATAATACACTTCTGTGTGATATTTTCACCAATGTGCATGTTTTCAAGCATTTCCTCCCCAGACTATGAATTTTTAAAGAAATTCCTGTGCTGGAGAATAGTATTGAAAGATTCAGAGAAGATATGGAATCTGAAGGATGTCTGAGTCTCAGTTTGCATAACGCTTCTGAAATCAAACAGGTTCATGTATAAATGCAAAATGAATCAAATTCCCCCCAACCCATCTTTCCTTGCAGGCCATAAGAAGAGCCTGCTGGATCAGGATTACTTATCTCCGACAAGCTACCTTTCTAAATTCAGGATTTATTCTTATTTTCATGCGGAGAAGCATTCAGTTCTGTGAGCCTCCAGCTCAGTCCAGAGACAGATTGACTGCCTCAGCTTCTGCCCATCAGCAGAAGTCCCTACGTTATAGGGTTTATTTAGCTGAACTGTATATTTATTTAACTGTATTTATTTAGCTCCACTTCCTGCTCAGATACAGCAAGTCTGAAAAGGCAGCAGGAAAGGATGCAACAAATCAACTGAAAATGCAGTTTGAAAAACAGGGAGCTCCAGGAGAAAAAGACAAATCAAAAGACACACTTCTTGGTAGAATAAGGGAGCATTCCTAGGAACAAGTAGCAGGTGTAACACAAAGCCAGTGCAAAGTTACACCGGATCCAAACTGCATTCAGGAGTGAGGCTCCTGCTGCTGCTCTGCCATAATTATTATTATTATTATTATTATTATTATTATTTATACCCCACCCATCTGGCTGGCTTTCCCCAGTCACTCTGGGCGGCTCCCAACAGAATATTAAAAATACAATAAAACATCAAACGTTAAAAACTTCCCTACACAGGGCTGCCTTCAGATGTCTTCTAAAAGTCAGGTAGTTGTTTATTTCCTTGATATCTGATGGGAGGATGTTTCACAGGGTGGGCGCAATGTCTGAGAAGGCCATCAGAAAACAAGCTTTGAAAATAATCGCCTGGCCAAGCTTAGGATCCAGACTAAATCCCTTTCCTCTGGTATGGCCCCAGCCACACCCCTGAAACCCCCCTTTTGAGGGGCCTTACACCAGGCTCAGCTTAGCCAGCTAAGCTTGGTCTCAGTCAAGATGAGCAAGGGGTGCTGGTGTATCTTCAGCTGAGCTGGGATTCAGGACTTAAAGCCAGCTGAGCTCAGCCGAGGGATTGGCTCCACCACATCCCAAGCTTCTCATTCTAGTGGATCAATCATAGGATCACCCCCTAGATGAAATAAGCAACTGCATCTGCAGATGCCAGCAAACTGAGGAAAGGGACTGGAGCCAGAAGTTAGTGATCAGGATACAAAGGATTTTGTGATTAGTTCCATGAGGCTCAAGGGACTCTGGGTGTGTTTTTCTTGAACAGCAGCCCTCGATGCCAGAGGCCAAATTGCTTTTGAAGCATAGGGACGGTTCACAAGCACTGCTATAGAGATGTGCCAGATTCATTAATTCATTCATTCATTCAGAGCATTCTTGGAAAACAAAATGTGAGCAGTTACCCTGAAAAGGGGAAGGCACACGCGCACACATAACATAACATAACATAACATAACATAACATAACATAACATAACATAACAACATAACATAACAACATAACATAACATCATAACATAACATAACATAACATAACATAACATAACATAACATAACACACAACACAACACAACACAACACAACACAACACACACACCTCACTTAGAGTTCAGATCTTGAGAAGGCCTGTGCAAGGCCTTAGCTTCAGTACCACAACCAGCAGTAGCAGATGAAGGCCAAAGCACAAGATGTCAACTGCGAAATGGGGGCCAATGTTGCTTTTGTAGCAAATAGACTAGCTCACATAGGTGAGAGATGGGCACTTTTCTCAGTCTGAGGGCCACCTTTCCTGTTGGGCAGCCCTCTGGAGGCTATGTGCCAGTGGCAGGTGTGGCAAAGATGAGTGTGTAGGTCACACATTATCATTCAAAATTAGATTTATTATGTATCTTTTCCCCAGGATGGGTCACAACCATTTAAAATACAACATTCAAAATGGTTTAAAACAAATCAGTCCTTCTCCATCCTCCAGCTAGGGAAACAAGGTATTATCACACATTCCAGGCACATAAAATTGCTATAGGAGGGAGCCGAGCAAGACCAGTGATGGGTGTGGCCTGCATAGTCCCAAGGGCTAGGCAGAGGCAGTGTGAGCCACCACTGGCCACCAGAACTAAGGTTCCCCTGTCAAAAGGGGTAGTTCTGAAGAGGTAGCTTTTCTCTCAGCTCCTCCTCTGGCAACTGGGAGGTGGAGTGATTCATGAACTGACAGAAGGTTCCTTCTGTGGTGCTGACCATGCATCTTTACACCCTAGGCAAGCCAAAATGCTTCATTTAGTCCTCTGAAGCACATTACATAGGCCAACCGTAGCTTTAAATAAGCCTTTCGGTCATCTGTGGAGAAACTCCATGCTGACCTTCCATATGTATTAGAGGCTGAAACTCGGTGGAGTTTGCAAAAGTCTGCTGAGAGGCACGGAAAAGAAGGTCCTTCATTTCTCCATATGGACATCCTCTTTCATTCCAAGTCTCAAAGTATGGTCAAAGCAGGCTACCAGCCCCTCACAATCCTTTCAGAAGGCAGCTCCCCCAGGTTAGAAATAGAAGATTTATCAACCCCACTGTGGTCTATCTCGATTTCACAGCAGAACCCGCAAAACTGGTAACACCATGGCATGATGGCATGGAACTTGCGTCCCAGGCCGGAAAAACATTTGGCAAAGGTTTGTTGGATGGCAGTGGAGGAGAAGTAGAAGATTGCTGGGTCCATGGAAGCATTGAGGGTGCTAAGGAGCAAAGCATAAACTCTCCAGGAAGGACTCTCATTCTGGATGAAGCCCACAATGTGGGAGATGTTGTAGGGAGCAAAGCAGACTGCAAAGTTGAGCAAAGTAGCCACAGCGAGCCCCACAGCCCGTTGCTTCCTGCGGGCATGGATGTTAGGCAAGGAGGTTAGGATGCGGACTAAGTTGACATAGCAGAAAAGGGTGATGAGGAAAGGGAGGAAGAAGAGGGTGATGCAGAGCTCCAGGCGGACAGGGAGGAGGATGTCGAGCTGGTTGGCGGAGAAACTCTCATAACATTTGGAGGCGTTGGCAGAGTTGGAGATGGTTTCGTTATTATGGTCTGGCACCGCGAGTTCCACGATATAGACAATGCTGCAGTGGGAGCAGGCAAGGAACCAGAACAAGATGCTGGCAAACACCGCATACATTGGCCTCCGGTTCAACTTGTACCTGATAGGATAGGCAACGCCCAGGTAGCGCTCCACGCTGATGGCCATGAGGAACAGGGTGCTGATGTAGATGCTGCTGTAGTAACAGAAGTTGGTCAGAGGGCAAAGGAACATGGGCAAAGGCCACGTCATGTCCTAAGCGGCCTCCACCATCTTGAAGGGCAGAAAGAGGAGGAGGATGACATCAGACACAGTCAAGTTGAACAAGAGGATTTCTATTGGGGTTGCCTTCTGTCGCACCTTGGCTTGGAATGTGTAGAAGGCCAGGAGGTTGGCTGGGAGGCCAGCCAGGAAGGCAAAGATGTAGACAGCAAGGACCATGGCATTGTATAACGACATCCTTTCAGTACCTGCAAAATAAATAAAGGCTTTGCTTTACCTATGCAAGGATACTGCCCCACAAAACCCCAATTTATCTCACTCTCAACCAGGGCTGGAGAAACCCCCACCCCATGTTACTTTGAACTACACAATTCCCATCACCTTTGACCTTTAACCCTACTGGCTGGGGCTAGTGAGAACTACACTGGTACCTCGGGTTACAGACGCTTCAGGTTACAGACTCTGCTAAACTTCAAACAGTACCTCGAGTTAAGAACTTTACCTCAGGATGAGAACAGAAATCAGGTACCAGCGGCCTGGTGGCGGCGGGAGGCCCCATTAGCTAAAGTGGTACCTCAGTTTAAGAACTGTTTCATGTTAAGAATGGATTTCTGGAACAAATTAAGTTCTTAACCTGAGGTACCACTGTATAGTCCGGCCAGTGTGGTGTAGTGCTAGGAGACCAACGTTCAAATCCCCACTCAGCCATGAAGCATTCACTGGGTGGACTTTGGCTAGTTGCTGCCTCTCAGGGTAACGTACCTGACAGAGTTGTTGTGGGGATTAAATAAAAATGGGGAGAACCATGCACACCAACAGAGGTCCTTGGAAGGAAAGGTGGGATATGAATAAAATAACACATACAACATCTAGAGGGCCACATCAGGAGGATAAATTTGATTGAAATCTCATGGAATGTTGAACCAAAAGGAAGCTATCCTCCAAAATTTGCACATCTCTGAATTTTGCAGTGCATTTCCTCAACCAAGAAATGAGTACAATATGCATAGATTACTGGAGAATGTGCATATAAATGCATACAGTAGTAAAAATAGCCTGACTTTTAATGAGGACTTTTTTTTTTTAAATTAAAAATTGCAAACTGATTTAGAAAGGAGGCGAAATAAACCACTGCAACTCCCTCTTGGAAACCATCTTTCCCTTCCTCTTGGAAAGTCAACAATATTAAACAACCTGACTGCAAATTTATAATTAAGCTAAGACCATCACCGTAGGAAAAGAGAGGAGAAACAAAGCAAGCAAGCACATCCAATACCAATACCAGCTTTTAATCCTTGAACTTCCCTGAGACCTCCGGATATAGGGCAAGATATAAATTCATTAACTAATAAAATAAGAATAAAAATAATAATAGTCTCAAATGTTTAAGGAGGCGACTCTTGCACTCCCCCCCAAGCAGATCCCCCAACTGTGTGTGCACTTTTCTTCTCATCCTTTGGGTTCACCACCGGCAGTTTGCCTCGGCTTGAGTCAGCCCAGGAAGCAATATAATCCCAACTCCCTCTGTCAGTCACTCACACAGGGATGGTGCAGGCTTCTCTCTGCTGGCAAGAGATGGGGAAACACCAGGTTAATTGGGAGCAGCGAATGAAGGCCGCTGTGGACCAGGGCGAGGTGGGCAGCTCATCTCCTACACCGATGGCCTCCAGCTGCTTCTGCCTCCAGGGGAAAAGATAGCAGGCCTCCCTGATATCTAATATTATACATTATTCAGAGTTTATTTGCACCAGGAATGAACTGAAAAAGTGAACTGCTCACAGGTTAGCAAAGAATTCCATTATTCCCCAGACGGGAAATGTTTGTATAACTCTAATAAGAAAACAGCAGAATAATGGGACCAGACATCTGTGGTCTGCATATCGCAACATCCATATGCAAAACAATAAATCCACAGGAAAAGAAGTTGACCAAGCAAGAGTTGTACAGAGGCACAAGCAAATCCATCAATTGGGTACCAGGGTTGTGGCTATTCTTCTAAACTACATGTAGCCAAATGAGAGTACAGTGGTACCTCAGGTTACATACGCTTCAGGTTACAGACTCTGCTAACCCAGAAACAGTGCTTCAGGTTAAGAACTTTGCTTCAGGATGAGAACAGAAATCGTGCTCCGGCGGCGCGGCAGCAGCAGGGGGCCCCATCAGGTAAAGTGGTGCTTCAGGTTAAGAACAGTTTCAGGTTAAGTACGGATCTCCGGAACGAATTAAGTACTTAACCCGAGGTACCACTGTACTGAACTTTTCTGTGTATAAGTCAAGGATTTTTCACGTTAACTTAATGTTGAAAAATTTGACTCGTCTTATAGACGGGTAGCGCGGGGGGGTGGGGGTTGGTTGCTGCCGGGAGCTGGAGATTGTTATAGGCAGTCTTGCAGTATTGCAGGTGATTGTTGGCTGTGTCCAGGCCTTTTTTTTTATTGGCTGTTGCAGCAGACGCCTGGTCAGACGTTTGGTTGCTTTTGCGTTGTGTGCGATAGGAAGTGTTGTTCAGATGGGCAATTCTCCCCCCAAAAAGCTCAACAACTCTGGGAAACCTCCCCCCATTTTCTTAATTTTTAGTCCCTCAAAATAGGGGACGTCTTATACATGGGGGCGTGTTATACATGGAAAACAATGGTAATTGTGTTTTTTCAAGGTATTTATTCATTATTGTTTGATTTCATTTGGGTGCTGTTGTTTTTAAAAGCATTTTTTTTCAGAGGGAGCACTATGCAGATTGTCTGTAGTAGTCTGATTTTAAAATTGGGAAGGGAAATAAGTCTGCAAGAGTCCAGGTTTTTAATTTATTTTCAAACTCAGAGGTACCAAACAAACTCTCTAGTTCCTAAAGTTCAGCTCCAGCCAAATGGGACTCACGGGAAGGGATAGGCATATATGTCCATATCTTTTCTTCCAGGCTCACATTCAAGTCTCCACATTTCCACATTAATTTTTGATTTATTTATTTTTTTAAAAAGTCCTCATTAAAATTCAGCAGAATTTCAGTTCAAATGTCACCTGACATATATCCATATGCAATTTTGCCTAAGATCCATACTTTTGCAAAATGGCTCTCCCCTGATAATATGCTTCTGTGTGATATTTTCCACTAATGTGCATGTTTTCTAGCATTTCCTCCCCAGACTATGAATTTGTAAAGAAATTCCTGTGCTGGAGAATAGCATTGAAAGATTCAGAGAAGATATGGATTTTGAAGGATGTCTGAGTCTCAGTTTGCAAAAGGCTTCTGAAATCAAACAGGTTCATGTATAAATGCAAAATGAATCGAATTCCCCCCAACCCATCTTTCCTCACAGACCATTGCTTTGGCATGTGTATAGCCATAAGAACATAAGTAGAGCCTGCTGAATAAGGAGTACTTATCTCCCACAAGCTACCTTTCTATGTTCAGGATTTATTCTTATTTCGTGCGGAGAAGCACCCAGTTGTGTGAGCCTCCAGCTCAGTCCAGAGACAGATTGACTGCCTCAGCTTCTGCCCATCAGCAGCATATTATAGGGTTTATTTAGCTGACCTGTATATTTATTTGACTGTATTTATTTAGCTCCACTTCCTGCTCAGATAGAGTGAGGCTGAAGACGGAGCGGGAAGAGAGCGAGGAAAGGGCTCAGAATGCAGTTTGAATAACAGGGAGCTCCGGGACTAAAAGACAAATCAAAAGACACACTTCTTGGTAGAATAAGGGAGTGGTTCCTATGCACAAGTACAGTGGTACCTCAGGTTACATATGCTTCAGGTTACATACGCTTCAGGTTACAGACTCCGCTAACCCAGAAATAGGTTAAGAACTTTGCTTCAGGGTGAGAACAGAAATCACACGGCGGCAGCAGGAGGCCTCATTAGCTAAAGTGGTGCTTCAGGTTAAGAACAGTTTTAGGTTAAGTACGGACCTCCAGAACGAATTAAGTACTTAACCTGGGGTACCACTGTAGATGGTTGTAAAGCAAAGCCAGTGCAAAGTTACATCAGATGCAAACCTGTCAGGGAACTGACATCGGAGCTAGAAGCGGAGGGAAGGCTCTCAAATGATGCTGGAGAAGGGCCCAGCAGGGAAAGAGGCAGCTGCGCAGATGGGGAAGCAAATCAGCGCAACACCAGGGATAAAGAGGGGCTGATGGGGGAATCGGCGAGAGGGCTCCAGGACTCTTCACCGGACACCAGCGGGGAGAGCACGGGTCCCCCGCTACCCACGCCCACCCTGCGCAGAAGACTTCCGCGCAGAGAGAGTAGGAGGAGACTGGGTGTCAAACAACTTTTATGTTGGGAAAGATTTAAGAAACGCCCACTGACGGATTCTGCTAGCGACTGAGGCAGCCACAAAGTGAAGGGCTGCTCAGACTGAAAGGTTTAGCAAGGCAACAAAGCCTGGAGAGGCGGCAACTTACGCACGAGCAACCCATACTCATTACAAAACCACATTCAGGAGTGAGTCTCCTGCTGCTGCTGCTCTGCTTGAAGGTTAAACAGAGAAAACAATCCTTGAAAGTCATGTTCAGCACAGAGTTGCCAGTACAAATGGCCAAGTTTAAATGACTTAGGATCCGGCCTAAAAAAACCCTCTCCGGCCCCACCCCTGCCACACAACCACCATTCCTCTGCATCCAACCAGTGCATGACACCTCCCACCCCCTTCTACACTGCTTTTCTCAACCTTTTCCAAATTTACAATACCTTTTTATAAGCATCAAGCAGGTAGGAGATCTTATTCCTGATTTTAGTGGGAACCAGTGCTTTTTTTCTTTTTAAAAAATGTTTAGGGGTACTCTCATTTTGACTCGAAAAAATCGCCAGGAAGGGAAGTGAAGCTGCCATCGGAGGTGGTAACAATGAAACTGACCAATCGCCATGCTAGATTCCAACTGCTACTTCACACATTAAACGCCCGCTTCCGTCTGAGACTCAGGAAAAACCGTGACAGGAAATGAGGCCGCCATTGGGGGTAGCAATGGAACTGACGATTCACCGTGCTAGAGAAGAAACTGGTTTTTTTTATTTTAAAAAATAGTTTCTTC